AAGATCCTGATTTCAACTTTAACCAGAGACATATATATACTATAGTAGAATGTAGGACAGTAAGTCACAGGACAAAAAGTCACGGACGAAAAGTCACAGGACAAAAAGTCACAATTCAGTTTTGAGATTATTTTTCTCTGAACAAGAAAACACTAATTTTAAAAATAAATTTTTGATTTTTTATTGAACTATAATATATGAAGCAACTTTGTAATTAAAATGTATTCAATAAATATTAATGATGATCAAATAATTGTTATGATAACAAAATGTCAAAGTGGTTTGCCAAGAAATATATTATTTACATGATTAAAATTTAATAATTTTTCATTTATCAAGGCTTATGAACAATTTCCTGAACTTAAAAATGAATAAATGTAAAAAAAAGAAATTATTTGAAGATCTTTTTCTTATATATTCAAACAATTGGCAATAAATTTTTTGTGACTTTTTGTCCTATCCAATTTGTGACTTTATGTCCTGTGACTTTTTGTCCTGTGACTTTCTGTCCGTTTACCCTATTCATAGTATAGCCCAGTGTTTCTGTTAAAATAAAGTTCTGGTCATGGTTAAAATAATATGTCAGAATTTGTTTAGTTGTAAAAACAATTACCAAGTAATAATCCATTTAGAACTTCACCTCCGGCAAAATTCAGGTGATCGGAGGGCAATAAATTGCGTAATCGCACACCTGTGAATCCACAGTCACAACTCTAAGGAAATAATGACCGGAAAATCGGACACACATAATTTCACTGTGTAATTTAGAAGCAAACTTTAGCAAAAAAATGTTTCTTGTAATATCATGATCATTACCAGATTTTACTTTTTAAATTAAAAGAAATGCCGAAAAAAAGAAAAAAACATTTTCTCAATCAAATACATTAAAAAAAAATACAACTATTTCAAGTAGTTTTTTAGAAAAAGAATTTATTTGATCTGAAATAAGTTTTCCTATTACTTTTCTTGATTAGCTATCGAGGTTATTCATCCCTTACTTTTTCGGGATACTGACTGCATAGTAAATTATCAATGTACTAGTTAATGTTCTCGAGGGATGACCCTATAACAGAGACATATATACACATATGTGTATATATGTCTCTGCCCTATTACGTGTCCGTAACCTTCTCGACACGGTTCATTTTTACGGCGGCTCAGTTTTGTCTTAAGAATAAACATAATTGATAAGTTTCTTTCCCCTGCATTCCTCGATCGCACTTGTAAAATAGCACATGGGTCTCAAGACATTAGTACACTATACGTTACAACACTTGCCGTCAGTACTCAAAATTGGAAAGATATTAAATAAGAAGGTATAGAAAATTAATGCACACACACTAATGACTATTATCAACCACAGACATGATGTTTTTCTCAATTTGCCTAAATCGTTATTCCGCAATACAACGGTGAAAACCCACCACTTTGAACACAGTCACAGGATCCGGCATGCTGTGAATTTGAAAGTTTCCCAAATGAGTAACTATTCATTACTTTTCTAGTGCCTGGGCCCCCCTTTCTTGGGAAAAATTTGGTTGATTATATAGGGATCACTGAAGCATGACTGGAGCCGGCCCTCCCTTATGAAAAGTTCTGGATCCGCCACTGTATATTCATAAAATAAACCAACAAATTATCCAAAAGATGAATAATACTTAATACTTACGACTAAGATTGATTATAAGTATACTTGAGTCGGTTTGAGAAAAAAAAAAACTTACAAGTAATCGTAAGTATACTGTATTGTACATGACTTAATTAGGGGACGACCATTTGATATTCTGGGGGGGGCCAGGAGGATTTGTTTTTGATCGGTTATTTATTTTTGTAAACTAAGAGGACAGATTATCTATTTTCTGCACTGTTGAAGCAAGATTTTTCATTTTCATTAAAGCAAGGGACTGATTATTTATTTTTCACAACTATATTTATAATATTTGAAAACATACAATTTTTAAATTCATTTTTTATTATAAATAATACATGAATAGTCCAATCATTATGTACCATTTAATCAGAATTGATCATCATCTTCTGTAGAAATGAATCTTCTGAATTCCCAACTGCATATACATGTATTGCATACATACAAGATATTAAAGTTTGGCTGTAATTAGTGTCTTATAAAAGTATTGCAAATCATTTATGCCGAGCGGAGCGAGGCTAAAAAAAATTTGAAGGGTTTTGGAGCCTCTGAAGGCCCCAAGTTGCTATAGAACTAATGATGCAAAATGTGTTTCCCATACCCTTTCTTAATCTGAAAATGAAAGTTCTGTTTTAATCATTTTTTGACAATATTTTGGTCTCAAAGCAACCGTGAGTGAAAATGTATAGATTCAGTGTAAGACTTAAGTTTTTAGGAACAACATCAAAAGACAAAGATAAAGCAAAAATTTAATTCACATAGTTAAGTATGTGGCTGCTGTTTTTTTTAAACTCTTGATCAAGTTAATAACAAAATTACTAAATTACAAAAGGAATGCAACACTAACAGAATACAGAAGGGCAATCAATAAACAAAAGACAAATAAATAAGAAACATTGATCCCCAAAAAACAGGAGCTACGTCTGAGGGAGAACAGAACTTGCTTCTTGCAAGACACTTGCCGTGAAAACAATTTGATATGAAGACAAGCTTTTGGTTTTGAAATTTCCTACATGAGGCATTTGCCTGAATGTAGTTACTGCCATATGTAATAAAAGTGAGTTAAGTGTTCCTGAGACAATAAACCTCAAGTTAAATGAAACCCATTTTTCAGACATTTCAAGTATTTAAATAATATTTATACTTTTATTTTTCAAAGATTTGGGAAGTGATTCCCGATTTTTTTTGAAAAAAAAGTTGAATTTTATGAAGAATCTGGTGCAATCTCATGCTCTCAAATAGACCTGCCGAGTTATTTATTTTTAATACATTGCAAGTCAGGTTATTTATTTTCAAACTACCACAGAACAAACCGTTTATTTTTGTGATTATCAAGGCTGAGTTATTTATTTTCAAAATCCTCCTGGCCCCCCCCCAGAATATCAAATGGTCGTCCCCTTACTATCAATATTATTTGTAAGTTTTTTTGTGAAACTGACTGCTGAATTGTTTTTCCATGCTTATGGTACATCTATTAGTCGTATGCTTTTTTTAAAACCACCTCCAGGGTATAATGTCTGCTGGCCCATAAAATCTGTTTGGAGATATAGGAAGATGTGGTATGAGTGCCAATGAGACAACTCTCCATCCAAGTCACAATTTATAAAAGTAAACCATTATAGGTCAAGGTACGGTCTTCAACACAGAGCCTAGTTTTTATCGAAAATGATAGTATATAGGTTAAATAATTTATTCATACATTTTTAATTGACTGACCTAGAATTATCATGATATTGAGGAATTTAAACCATTCCTATTTTTAAAAAAGGGACAAAAATAAAATTTATATATAATAACAGGGTGATACAAATGAGAAAAACTCTAGAAATTGTTTTCAATTAAGATAAATACATGCAGTTAATAATGGTTTTCAGTTGTTTTTTAAAGCAGAGGCAGATTTAGTTTAAAGTTGGAAAAAATTGTTTGTACCAACAAAAATAAATACACGAAGTTAATCCAGAATTTATATGTGTTTATAATTTTTTTTTATGTTTAGGTTGTCAGCCAGATGAAAAGAACAATGCAGTTCAAAAGTCAAAATGTGGATAAGCTGCGGTACAAGGTCCTACTTTTGCAGATTTTCATATTTTGCATGAATGAATTTGAAGTTTATATCGTGGAGGGCAGAGAATTTTCCTGCTTCTGAAGGATAAATGTAAAACATCTTGTTCGGTAAGTTTTATGCTCTGTTTTGATAGTGTTTGTGCATCCATCTGTCTTTCTCTAAATTGTATTCACTTAAAGTTTTTGGTTACAGTTCACCATGAACTTCAGTTAGTAAGTTGTGGTTTTACATGTATATACTCAAAATTTAGTACTTTAAAATGTTCATGTATTTTTGTCGAGCCTGCAACTTTTGTCGCAGAAAGCTCGACATAGGGATAGTGATCAGGTGGTGGCTACGGCAGTGGCATTAGCTAACTTCCTAAAAGCTTTATATTTTAGAAGGTTGGAAGACCTGGATGCTTCATACTTTGTATATAGATGCCTCATGATACGAATTCTGTCTGAAACATGTCCATTGTCCTTGACCTCATTTTCATGGTTCAGTGACTACTTGAAAAAAAAGTTCAGATTTTTTGTAATGTTAATTTCTCTCATATTATGAGTAATATGATAACTATATTTGGTATGTGCATACTTTGCAAGGTCCTCATGCTCGTCAGAGAGTTTTCACTTGACCTAGACCTCATTTCATGGATCAGTGAACAAGAACTTAGTCTTAGATGCATGATTTTTTTTATTAGTTGTTAGTGGCTTTGTACTAGCTGTCAGTAACTGCGAGTACTCTCAGATCTGTACTTAGGGTCTTTTTTTGTTGTTTGGATGTATGATTACCCGGCCATGTCCACTTGTATTTGTAGTATTTGTATTTTTATCCATCTGATGAGTTAAGCCTCTTTCAACTGATTTTTATAGTTCGTTCTTATGTTGTACTGTTACACCACTGTCCCAGGTTAGGGGGAGGGTTGGGATCCCGCTAACATGTTTAACCCCGCCACATTCTGTATGTATGTGCCTGTCCCAAGTCAGGAGCCTGTAATTCAGTGGTTGTCGTTTGTTTATGTGTTACATATTTGTTTTTCGTTCATTTTTTGTACATAAATTAGGCCGTTAGTTTTTCGTTTGAATTGTTTTACATTGTCATTTCGGGGCCTTTTATAGCTGACTGTGCGGTATGGGCTTTGCTCATTGTTGAAGGCCATATGGTGACCTATAGTTGTTAATTTCTATGTCATTTGGTCTCTTGTGGAGAGTTGTTGTCTCATTGGCAATCATACCACATCTTCTTTTTATACGACCGCAAACAAATTTTTTGTGGTTGTATATTGGTATGATGTTCAGGCGTCGTCGTCGTCCGAAGACACATTAGTTTTCGCACTCTAACTTTAGTTTAAGTGAATGGATCTCAATGAAATTTTACCATAAGGTTCAATACTACAATAGGAAGGTGGGGATTGATTTTGGGGGTTATGGTACCAACAGTTAAGGAATTAGGGGCCAAAAAGGGAAAAAAAATAAGCATTTTTGTAACTTCCAGACATAACTTGTGTGTAAGTGTATGGATCTCTTTGACATTGTACCACAAGGTTCCATATCACAAAGGGAATGCTGGGATTGATTTTGGGGGTAATGCCTCCAAATTTTAGGAATTAGGGGCCAAAAAGGGGCAAAAAACAAGCATTTTTCTAGTTTCATGACAATAACTTGTGTGTAAGTGTATGGATCTATCTGACATTGTATCACAAGGTTCCATAACACAAAGTGAATGCTGGGATTGATTTTGGGGGTAATTGCTTCCAAATTTTAGGAATTAGGGGCCAAAAAGGGGCAAAAAAACAAGCATTTTTCTAGTTTCATGACAATAACTTGTGTGTAAGTGTATGGATCTTTATGAAATTGTACTACAAGGTTCCATATCACAAAGGGAAAGCTGGAATTGAGTTTGGGGGTAATTACCCAAAAATTATAGGAAAAAGGGGCCAAAAATAAGCATTTTTCTAGTTTCCAGACAATAACTTGTGTTCAAGTATATGGATCTCTCTGAAATTGTACTGCAATGTACCATACCACAAAGGGAAGGCTGGGATTGATTTTGGAGGTAATTCCCTCAAAATTTTAGTAATTAGGGGCCATAAAAGGGCAAAAAACAAGCATTTTTCTAGTTTCAGGACAATAACTTGTGTGTAAGTGTATGGATCTTTATGAAATTGTACTGCAAGGTTCCATATCACAAAGGGAAAGCTGGGTTTGAGTTTGGGGGTAATTGCCCTAAACGTTTAGGAATTTGGGGCCAAACAGGGGCCAAAAAACAAGCATTTTTCTAGTTTCCAGACAATAACTTGTGTTCAAGTGTATGAATCTCTCTGAAATTGTACTGCAAGGTACCATACCACAAAGGGAAGGCTGGGATTGAGTTTGGGGATGATGAATCATAAGGGGGTTCAAAACATTTGGGGGGGGGATTTTTTTTTTCCTTTTTTTTTCTTTAAAATTTTCCATTTTAAATTGGTTATTTCTGATTTATATATAAAAGCAAATAATAATGATATGGTTTGAATAGGTAAATTAAATTTTTTTTAAGTTCTAAGACCACTTTCATTCTGTATCAGAAACCTATGCTGTGTCAAATATTTAATTACAATCCAAATTCAGTGCTGTATCAAGCTTGAATGTTGTGTCCATACTTGCCCCAACTGTTCAGGGTTCAACCTCTGCGGTCGTATCAAGCTGCGCCCCAGCGGAGCATTTTATTTATATTTAAGGTTAAGTTTTGGTGGTCAAGTCCATATCTCAGATACTATAAGCAATAGGTCTAGTATATTCGGTGTATGGAAGGACTGTAAGGTGTACATGACCAACTGGCAGGTGTCATCTGACCTTGACCTCATTTTCATGGTTCAGTGGTTATAGTTAAGTTTTTATGTTTTGGTCTGTTTTTCTTATACTGTATGCAATAGGTCAACTATATTTGGTGTATGGAATGATTGTAAGGTGTACATGTCTAGCTGGCAGGTGTCATCTGACCTTGACCTCATTTTCATGGTTCAGTAGTCAAAGTTAAATTTTTGAGTTTTGGTCTTTTTTTCTAATACTTAATGCAATAGGTCAACTATATTTGGTGTATGGAAACATTTTATGATGTACATGTCAGCCTCACAGGTTTTATTTGACCTTGACCTCATTTTCACGGTTCATTGCTCAGTGTTAAGTTTTTGTGTTTTGGTCTGTTTTTCTTAATCTATAAGCAATAGGTCAACTATATGTGTTGTATGGAAGGATTGTAAGCTGTACATGTCTGCCTGGCATGGTTCATATGACCTTCACCTCATTTCCATGGTTCATTGGTCAATGTGTAGTTTTCTTGGTTAAGTCTGCTTCTTAGACTATGTTAGAAACTATAAGCAATAGTTCAACTGTATTTAGTATATTGAATGATTGTAAGGTGTACATATATTTCTTGTCAGGTTTATATGACCTTGAATTCATTTTCTTGGATCATGTTGAGTTTATGTGATAGTTGTAGTAAAGCTTTATATTTAGGACTATCAACATGATATCAATGATTAGTAAAGAAGGCGCAACATTTCAGCGTGTGCACTCTTGTTTATACATTATACACCACATTTACTGTTTTTACCCTGATTTTATGGATTACTGAACATAGAAATGTCATAATGTGAAATTATAGTACATTCTTAGGTTAAAGTTTTAGGTTAAGGTACATAGCTTACCATGAAGTTGAATTTCATACACATGTTCATTATGTGTTGAATTTTTAAATTCAGTGCCAAACTAAGATTTTGAGCCTGATTACATGATTGACTAGACATTGACACATGCTAGTGTTTGCCAGGCATGTCGTCCTATACTAGGAATTTGTCCTGTACTATAAAGAACTTTAATAGTACTCGCTGAGTATGGAGTTTTTGTGAAAGTTTAATATTAGTGAGATTTTTGCATGACATCCTGTCAACTGCTTGTTGATCATGTTTATACATGTCTTAAATTTAATATCTGACACATTGGTGTTTTGTGAACTTGGAAATAAGTTATTTGATAGAATAATAATGTTTTGAGATTATCAAAATAAAAAACATCCCATTTTTACTATTAACGATTAAGTATTAAAAAAAAAGAAGATTTAGGATATATGTATAACCATATATAAAAATGAGACAGCAACCGTACAACACAAAAATAAGAAAAAAAAAACTATATAATTTTTTGTATCAATGTTATAATTTCCAACATGTCCAAAGAGTTCAATGTATTTTCTGATTGAAATAAAACACAAGTGGAACTCTTTCAGAACTTCAGAAGCTTAAAGAAGTGCTGTTTCTATTGTTGGCTTTCTGTATAATATATTGCAAATTCTTGTGAAAAATGGAATTTTATTGTATTTGCCTAAAGTTTTAACATTGATCTATATATATATATAACTGGGGAAAATACCTAAATGTTATAAAGAAGAATACATAAATTGATTGTTATATAATATTAGAATAGGAAGATGTGGTATGTTGCTAATTTGACAACTCTCCATCAGAGACCAAAGGATGTAGGAGGTTAGCAACTGATGACACTGGACAACCTTCAAAAATCAGAAAAATCCATACCGCATAGCTATTTTTATTGAAAATCATATGTTATTGCTACATGTATGCAAACAATTTTTATTATCCATAACTTCGTCGGATTTTATTGGTTCTTTTTCAGAAGGATTGAAATTCATCACTTAGAATAAAAGGAGAAAACACAGAAACAAGACCAAAATAAATTCAAAGACAAAAGTCAGATCAGTTATTATTTTCATCACTCAGTCGATGAATTGAAGTTCTATTAGATATCTAAAGATATTAAAACCACAATAATGACAATGTTCTGTGCTGATGGCCAAAAAGTGGACTATACATTATGATCACACAATGCTGGATGATAAGAAACTATTAATGTTTTGGGTGGAGGGATATCCTGAAAAAAAAATTAGATTTATGTAAAAAGCTACTAGTATGTTAAGCCTATTAATAGCATTTTCATTGATTTCAAATGGGAAAAAATTGTGTTGTGTTTGTTTCAAAAAAGTATTCTAGAATTCATAAATAAACATATATTGATACTTACATTATCTGCTTTGTTGTTTAAAAGTTTAGTTTTGAACAGTTATAGAACAATATAATTGCATTAACATTTCCAAGGAAAAAAAGATATTCAACTTAAAAGATTCATCTTAAAACAATTTACTACCAAACAGAATTCATTGTAACATACACATTTATTTACTGTATATTTATAATTTGAATCCCATATGATTTTATTTTGTCCCATGGGATATTAAAAATCCCATGGGATAGCTATAGTCCCATGGGACTATAATTATCCCATGGGACACAAAAAAATCCTATGGGATTTAACCAAAATCCCATGGGATAATGGTCAATCCCATGGGATTTGCCTTATCCCATGGGATATTGAAAATCCCATGTTTTTCTAAATCAAATTACAAAATATATATAATAATAACAGCAGAAAAGCAATGAATTTATTGAATCCCATGTAATTCCGCACATTTTGGTTATATACATGACACTGTAGGTCTAAGGAGAGGCGGCGGCGGATTTGCAAATGAGTGTTTTGCAAATTAAAAGTGTCCAGTGTTATTAGTGAAGCATTATTGGTTTCGTTAAACGTATTTTATTCAATTAATATATATAACACTTTATAGGTGTGGTGCGTCGAAAACAGTTTTATGGATTCACCTTCAACAGGAACGATCAAACCCAACAATGTAAAGAAGACAAAGGATGTTAAAGTACTTGAATCTGTTAAATGCTATATATTGGCCAATAAGGACCTCAAAAGTAAAACCAAAGCCATCTGTCATATTTGCCACACGGAGTTAGATTCTTAGTGTCCTAATGTTTCCTAAACATTTTCAGTAAAAAGTTAATAAACATACGGAGGGGGCTAGGAAGAAAAATTTTGTCCAGCATATTTTTAGTTGTAATCTCTGTCCTGCCTTTTTATTTCTAACTGTATGCGGTCGGGCCTTTTTTTTTTATTAGCTCATCCTGCCTTTTTTTTTTTTTTTGCAATGTGTCTCGTCCTGCCTTTCTTTTGCAACGTGTCTCATCCTGCCTTTTTTTAACTTAAAACTCCTGTCCTGTCTATCTTTTTTTTTATTTCATCCTAGCCCCCCCCCCCCCCCCCCCCCCCCCCCCCCCCCCCCCCCCCCCCCCCCTACAAATCAAATGGTAGCTCCATAAATCATTTAATACCGGATACCGGATCACTGACAACTGAGTTCGATTTCGCTGATTTCGTATTAAATCTGTTGCAGGTATTTGTACTACTGGTGTTTACTATACTTTTATTAAATGGCATTCTGGGAGTTTTACCGGTAGTTTATATCTCTCACCGGCAACTGTTCAGGATTGTGTTAACAATTGTGAATGGATAATAGCAAATTCTGGTGTTTGCTGGGGATTCGTATTCCGTGTGACGACAAATCCAAATGCATGTCTTACTTATGATGACACTGATGATCCTTACTACAACCTTATTAACCAACAAGCTTCCCAAAATCATTATAACTACATCCGCAACTGTAACTTAACAAGTAATTATATTATTTAAGTATTTTTATGCACTCAAAGCAATTCTGTATTCTGTAATTTTTAAAACTATTTTTCTCTATTCCTTATAAATTTGGCTCATTATTCTCTATTCATTATATTTTATCACCCCATTATTCTCTTTTCTTCATTTTAGGGGCCTATGTTTCTTTATTATCTTTTTAGCTATTTATTCTACACTTTTTGTGTATTATTTCTATTCTGAAAACCTAATCCAGACCTTCGTGTAATTTATTCCTATTATTTCTTTTAGATGTTCTTCTTCTTTTTCTTCTTCTTTATTAGTAGCCTTTTCTTTCCTTTTTTGTTTTATAAAAGAGAGGCGGTTGATGTAATATGGGTATTTAAACTCGTAAAAAATTACTAATGGTCAAGCAACAGTCTACAAAACACAACATAGAAAACTAAAAACTGGTCAACACGAATCCTAAATAAAGACCGGGCTGATATCAGGTGCTCCGGCAGGGTAAAAGGATCCTATTCCAAATCTGTTCATATAACAGGAACAATGATAACGATAATAAGATATGTCATACTCTCAGTTTAAACATGCATTCTTATTGTGTTGCATTTTTACATTCAAAACTTTAAAAGGTGACATAGGATACAGCTAAAACTAAACCAGTCATGGCATTAAATACTGATTAGGTCTATTATTGTGTTTTTTTTTCGTCGATTTGAATTTGCATGGACGATGATGCATGCAAAAAAGGAGACGTTTACCCTGCCGATGCATCCGGTCTTGTTCCTTTTTGAGTATTTTTTTATGTTACATCGATCTGTCCTTTCTTAATGGATTTACATGATTTTAAAATTTAATTTTCAATTTGTCCTCATTGACCTTATTATTTGTTTCATTCTATTTTTTCAAAAACATTTAAACCAAATAATCCTTCTAATGTAACTGTATTCAAAGGTCCGAAAGTTTCATGACTGCAATCTTTTTGGTTGACCTTTATAGTATGTCTGTGTCACAGACTATTGATTTGGCTAATTGACCTTTATAGTATAACTGTGTCAAAGACTATTGATTTGACCCAGTAGTAATTTTGTTCTCTTTTTTATACATACATTATACACCTGGTTTCAATATGCGTATTTAGACTTTAACTGCTTTTAAAGCAACAGTC